ACAACAATTGGGTGATTAATATTTAATAAAATAAACATAATACAACAGGTGGACACTGACTGTTGTCCTGTTACTAGCTGTCTTAGTTCTTTATAGCACAGATTCAACGAGGTGGTGAAAAGATTCCTCAGAGATTTTGGTTCATATTGACAAAATACCATCAAGTCAAAACTGAACATTTAAATCAGCCTCAGTTGACCTTTACAGCAGGGGTGGGCAACTCCAGGCCTGGAGGGCCGGTGTCCTGCAGGTTTTCACCCTGGGCCAACACACCTCAATCACATGATTAGTTCATTATCAGGCCTCTGGAGAACTTCAGGACATGTTGAGGTCATTTCAATCAGCTGTGTTGGATCAAGGACACATCTAAACCTGCAGGACACCGGCCCTTGAGGCCTGGAGTTGGACACCCCTGATGTACAGACTGTATATATAAAACACACGTTATATGTTGGCTTGTGTAATTATTCTGTCATTAACAATAAACAACGTTAAAATACACCTTAAAAACCGTGAATCTCAATTATGAAACAAACTCTCAATTTAAAAAATGACAAATATAATGAAATAAAAACAATAATAAAAGTAAGTACGGCTGTGCACAATGAAAAGTTGTGACACTCTGCACAACTAGAATTAAAGGCAAGAATAAATGCAGACAGACCGACAAGAGACAGAGGACAGCACAGAGCATAAACACACACAAGGTAACGAGGGAAATGCACAACAGGAGGGAGACATGAGGATAGGGAGGAAAACAATACACTGACATAGGACACGGAGTTTCAAAGTAAAACAGGAAACGCAAGAGACACACACAACGACGCTGACTTAACACTGAGACATAGAGACATGACTGACTGAGGAGACAGAGGGAACACGGAGCACAGAACAGAAGCCAAGATACTAGATATGAGCTCAAAGACCGGACTGGACTGTGACATTAACAAGGTAGTTATGTTCATGTCAGTTCCCTGAGCCATGGATTATGATGTGTTTGCCCAGAATAAGAGACTTATGTGGTTAACTTGTATCTTACTGATTAATTTTCATTTTTAATTAAGAAATCAGCTCTGATCAATATAGCGTAAGAGCGACTGGAGTTTGTAAAGTACAGCAGTGACAGTGTTCTATATTACAACATGTTATATAAGAGGTACATGTATTATAGCTGCAGAACTTTCTCAGGTATTATTCTTTAGTCCTCACATTTAACTGATTTTTTGTTGTTGTTTATGCTCATAAAATATGAGCATTTATCTTTTTTGTTTTTCTTTAACAAACAATGTCAGACACGGTCATATTCAATTGTTGGTTGTCCGAGTGGTGTGGGTGATTTTAACACCCATGGAGAAAATGACTTAACACGACATATTAGAGATAACATATTACTCCCATACTGGCTTCTCATGATTGGCTCCCTGTTAAATCCAAATGTAAAATCCTTTCAATCACAAACAAGC